TCCTCTATGTATCATTTGTTGTGTGGTGCATTTGCTCGCTCTTCGGGCGAGGGTGGATGAGATGGGGATTGTGTCTTGTTGCATATTAGTGGGTTTCTTGATTTTTTCCCACGTCCTGTGGGCTTCTCGTACGCTCGGGCGGGTGCCGAATTGTGTCATTGCCATTAATTCGTATGTCCAGTTTTGATCTATTTGCCTCATCAACTCGGCTATTCATGGTGTTGTGTTTTTTTTCCATAGCCTGGATATCAGCAAGTTTGCTGATGCTATGGTGTGGTACTTAATGATTCTAATGTGTTTTGGGGTGCTAACTGGTAACATGAATAGTAGACACTCCTGTGGCTTATCCACCCTTATGTTGTGCAATATTTTTTAAAGCAGTTTGGTCACCGCTTCCCAAAATGGGCTTATTTTGTAACAGGACCACCAGATGTGGAGCAACGTGCCCACCTCCCTCTCGCACCTCCAGCACAAGTTGCTTGTTTGGTGCCATATTTTGTGTAGCTTTGCTGGTACCAAGTACCATCGGTACATAATTTTACATTGCAGTTCTAGGTGTGTGGCGCACGCTGTGAGCACTCGGTGGACCGAATATGAGAATGTATGAGAATGTCTGACCTATTTCCCTGTGCCAGTCCTTTTTGATCTGTTCTAGTGTGTGTGTTTGTGTTGAGACTAGCTTATGGTATCCCCAGGACATTGCTTTTTTTAGTGGTGCTGTTCCTACACATTGTCGTTTGAAGATCGTCATGGCTTTTTCGTCTTCTATTCCCGGTTGTTTTTTTAATTTGCCTGCTACATATGATTTGAGCTGCAGGTAGGAGAATGTGGTTGTGGTGGGCAGTGTATAGTCTGCTTGGATGTCTGGTAGTGTTTTCAGTTTGCCTCTGTCAATGACTTGGTATATGTGGTGGATTCCCCCTCTCTTCCAGATGTCCCCGTGAAATGTGGGTATTTCCATGTCTATTGTTTGTATTGGCGTGGCCATGGGTAACTTGGGGTTAGACACTCATTTGTTCCTCGTTGTGTTCCACACCCTCAACAGGTTCTGTGTGCTAGGTAACAGAGTTTCTCGTATGAGTTTTGGGCATTTCTGTAGCCATGATAACGCTCGGAGGTCGTGTTGTGGGGCCCAGTAGGATTCTATTGCTACCCATTGTGGGGCTTGGGCTGGGAGATTAATTTGGGCTATGTTGTGGAGGTACGCTGCCCTACAGTATGCCGTTAGATGTGGCAGACCCATCCCGCCTTTGCTCACCGTTTGGTTTAGCGTTCCCGCTGCTACTCGTGCCTTTTTTCTTTCCCATATGAATGTGTTTAGGATGTGTTGCATGTTTTTTAAGAACCGTTTCGGGATGGGTATTTGTAGTGTGCGAAAGAGATATTGAATTTTGGGTATGAGTGTCATCTTTACCGCTGCTCTACGGCCTGTCCATGATATATATTTTCCTTTCCACTTTTGCATGGTGTCTATAATTTCTGTTTGTATGCGCTCATAGTTTAGTTTAGCTGGGTTTTTGGGGAGCTTAAGTCCCAGAAACGTCAAGTAGTCGTTTCTCCAGTCCATTGGGAATGCCGTCTGCACTCTGCCCATCAAATCCGTGCTCAGTCCCATCCCCAAGGCTTGTGTCTTGGTGATATTTAACTTATAGTACGAGACCTTCCCATATTCACGTATTTGTGCCATTAGGTTTGGCAGTGATGTTAGGGGTTGCGTGGTTGTCACTAGCATATCGTCCGCAAAGAGGTTGAGTTTGTACTCTCTGTCTCCCAGGGTTACTCCCTTTATGGAGCGATTTGCTCTTATTGCTGCTACCAGCGGCTCCAGCGCTAGAATGTACAGTAGCAGGGATAGGGGGCAGTCCTGTCGCGATCCATTGGTTATTTTAATTTGTTTAGATATAAAACCTGCGTTGAGCACTCTTGCTGTGGGGTGGGAATATAATGCCTTCACTCCGTTCAAGAACCTCTGGGGAAATTTTTATTTTTGGAGCACAGCTTCCAGGAATGGCCAGTTTAGATGATCAAATGCTTTTTCGGCATCCAGGGACAGGAGGACCCCCCCATCCTGCCTCCGAAGTAAGCTTTGCATTAGGTCCACTACCTTCCTTGTATTATCAGACCCTTGTCGACCAGTGGTGAAGCCCATTTGGTCGTCGTGTATCAGCGTGGGGATGATGTGGGTCAGCCTAGTGGCTTGGATTTTTGCGTATAATTTAGTGTCAGTGTTGAGCAGTGAGATTGGTCTAAAGTTTTGGCTGCAGGTGGGGTTTTTTCCTGGTTTAGGTAGTGTGACTATGTGGGCTCCTAGCATGTCTGCAGGAGCCTCTCCTTTTTGTGTTGCTGCATTAAACAGATTCGCTAGATGTGGGGCCAGTATTCCCGCATATTTCTTATAGTAGGTGTTTGTGAGACCGTCTGGGCCAGGTGCCTTCCCAGAAGGTAGGCGTGTGATGGCTTGTAGAACCTCTGTTGTGGTAATGGGGGCTTGCAAGGATTCTATTTGTTCCTCCGATAGGGAGGGTAGGGTTATGTTGTCCAGGTAGCGTTCTATGTTCCCAGGGGTTGGTTGTGTCGTGTTTGAGTCCTGCCCTATGTTATACAGTGTCATGTAATAGTCAGCAAAGATGTCGCTGATTTCTTTTGGTGTCACCTTTTTTCCCTGTTTGGGTTTAGCAGGTATTGGATCTTGGCCTTTACGCCTTGTTGTGTTAGTCTTCTGGCTAGGAGTTTGCTCGCCCTGTTCCCCTACGTGTATTGCGTTGCTTTGAGTTTCCTAAGGCTAAATCCCATTTTTGCTAGGTCGTGTTCCCTGAGTTCGTCTAACTTCTCTTTTATCTGTGTTTTTAAAAGTGGTGTTGGGGTCAATTGGTTTTGTTTGTTAAGGCGGTCGGTATAGGGCTTTCAAACATCCCTTCAGTTGATTTAGGAACGTGCCTTTTATGTAGAACCTGTCTATGCGTGAGTAGGTGTTGTGCACTTGGGAGAAGAAAGTGAAGTCTCTCTCCTCCGGGTGCAGCACCCTCCATGCGTCATATAAGTCGTGCTCACTGTGTTAGTGTTGCTGATCTGGGGGTGTGGGGCGGGACCGATGTGTCCCATCTTGGGTCCAGAATGTGGTTCATATCCCCGCATATGATGGTGATTCCTCTCTGTAGCGGTGTGAGTTGTACGAGTAGTTTGTGTAGGAAGTTTCTCTGTTTTGTGTTTGGTGCGTATATGTTAATTATTGTGTGTTCCACGTTGTTGATTTCGCACACTAATATTATGTATCTCCCTTGTGTATCTACGGATTCATATATCAGCTTGAAGGACACATCTCTACTGATTAAGATTGACACTCCCCTTGTTTTGGACATGTAGGTGCTGTGATACTGCATGGGGAAGTGTGCCTGCGCTATGATTGTTGTCTGTTTAAGGTGGGTTTCTTGTAAGCATACAACATCTGGGTGTACTCTGCGCAAATCCCTGACTAAGCAATGTCTTTTGACTGGGATGTTCAACCCTTTTACGTTATGGCAGTATAATTGCATGTTCTGTTGAGTTTACTGCTGGTCGGTAATGTGGTTCTTTAGTTGGCGAGGACTTTCTGTTAGCCCTTCTTACACCTCTGTTTGCTCTGTTTCTACACTTTTGCGCTATATCTCTGTTGCCTGTGTTCCAATCGGCCGACTGAGTTTCCTGTGGTTTCCCCTGCGTGGGTGTGTTCCCTCTCTGGTTTTGCATTCCCTGTCTTTGTGCATTTTCCTGGGTTCTAGTACCCGTCTGGTGGGTATGGGGTGGATGGGGGGGGGTGTGTGGGGGTCAACACTAATGCAATAGGTATTCATAACATACAAATAAAACGTTCCATCAGTCATCATATATACAGTAACAGTAATGTTACCAATGTAGGGTGAGGCACCAACTGGATAGTGCCGAGTGTGGACATGGTTGTTGTGTGTGTTTATGAGATTTAAAGGTTAGTGGGTGAGCTTGCTGAGCCTGATAGTTGCTGTCGTGTTTCTCAAGGCAGCTGTGTTTTGGCCGCCCAAAGTTAGGAGTTGGTGAGGTCCGAATTGTGTTTTGTTTCATAACAGCATTGTACCTCCCCCTTTGTGGATGACTTTTTTTTATTTTTTATTTCTCTTTCCTGCCCTGGATGTTGTGTCAGTGGTGTGTCACTGCCCCCTCGGTGGGCAATTTTTTATTTTTTTTTGTTATAATTATGTATTCAAATGATCCCTCCCATGTCCCCTGTCTTCTGTGTGTTTATCATGTATGTGTTGTATCTTGCTTGTGCTTATAACCCCTCGTTGTGTTGTCATGTGTTACTTGCGACTCATTGGCTGCCCATCTGCGGCTGGGACTGCGTTTGGTTCTGCATCACAGTCTTTATAGTGTCTTGTCAGTTCATTTTTTGGTTCTTTTCCATTCTGGTGACAGTCTGGTTTATGCGGCCGCATTCTTCCCCTCTGGGTTTATTGAGGTGCGCAGGGGTTTCCGCAGGTGTGTTGGCTGTTGTCACCGTACCATTTCTCCTTATCATCAGACGGATCGGGTAGCCCCATCTATACTGGACATTATTCTGGCCCAATGCTTCTGTGATGTCTTTAAATTCTTTTCTTTTTTGCAGCGTGGCTGCCGACAGGTCTGTGAAGATTTTGATGTGTCTGTATTTCTGCGGCAGGTCGCGTCCCCCTCTCGTGGCTTGGAGTAGTGCCTCTTTCACGTGAAAGTACTGCAAGTGTGTGAGCACATCTCTGGGGGTGGCTTGTGGTAGAAACGTTGGCTTTTGCACTCTGTGGTACCTGTATAGCAGCAGTACCTCTGCGGGTAGGTCTGGCGCCAATTCTTTAAAGTACCCTACCAGGAATGCATGGAGGTCTTGCTGCTTCACATCTTCTGAGATGCCCCGGAGCCGCAAGTTTTGACATCTAGAGCGGTCCTCCAGGTCCATGACCTTGCGCTGTGTGTATCCCAATTGTTGCTGTATATGTTGCACTTGATCAGCCATGTCATTATGTGCAGCGGCTTGATCTTCCAGCTTTTGTTCCACATGTGCTGTCCTGTCTCCCAGCTCCTGCACGTCTCTGCGGAGCTCCCTCAGAATGCTCTGTATGGATGCCAGAGCTGGACATATCCTCCAGGCAGTTTTGTAGGAAATCCTGCGTGACCGGTAGGTTTTGCGGCCCAGGGGAAGACTGCAGTGGTATTGTGTCGTTCCCGCCGTCGCCATCTTGGTCTCGGTCTGTGAGGCCTGCGGCCTTAGGCGTCGATGCTCTGCTCGTAAAAAAGCCGGATCGGTCCGTTTTTTCGGTCTGTTTTTTCTGCTTTGTGTTAGCCATGCTGCCAAGTATCGAGTGAGTCTTGTGGGAGCTGGTTTATGCTTTTTTCTTGTTTTTTTCAGGCCAGCGTTGTGCGGAGCTCAGATCAGAGCGACCATCCGCGTTGCTCGCTAGGCCACGCCCCCACTTTTATTATTTTTTAATATTAAAGTACTTTTTTAATTGAACCTAACTTTGCTGTTGTTGGATTGTTTGGAGCTATATCCCTGGTGGGGTCCATACCACCCAAGCGCTTTGGATTGAGCAAACCAGAACTTGCGCTTTAGCATGTGAGCAGGTTTAACTTATTTATTTCTGCTTACACTCCTTTTTACGGTGTACACTATTGTGGTTCTGTTTGTTTATCTCCACATATACACGGATGGAAGAATTTGTATTTACACCTGTATCCTTGAGTGGGCATCATACCACTTCAAGCGCTATTAGAGGAGCCAGGTTTTACGGCTCCATTACACATGAGTGCACATTTTATAGTTTTTACCTACCCTTGCTTCATAGCTCTATATACTTCACCATATATGATTTTTATTTGTTTATTTTTTATGAGGATACCCCCTACCTAACCTATACTTTGAAGAATTACCTCTGCACTTGATCCATTGGCGGGGATTATTCCACCCAGGCGCATACACTGGAGCTGTTTTGAAGCTCCAGGAAAGTGTGAGTGCACATCTTTTATCTTACCTATCACCACTACAGTTTTAAATACTACAGTACACTATTATTTCTTCTCTGGTTCTCTCCACATATACATGGTCAAGGATCCACTTAATCTCCATTGCCTGTCTGGGTTTGACTGAAAGGATTCTTCTAGATATAACACTATGGGTGCATGGTCGGACCAGTTAATCTCTAGGATGTCCGAACAAATAATAAGAGGGATAACATTTACACCTGTCAAGAATCTGTCAATCCGAGAACACATACTGTGTATGTGAGTGAAAAGTGTAGTTTCTCTCTCTTTCATGTAAAATGCGCCAACAATCAAATAGGTCCTGTGAAAAGCAAAATTTGGAGCAAAGATTCGCCAATTTATCAGTATAATAATTTTTTAATCTCTAACTATGTCAATATTGTGGTCTAATACAAAATTAGTGTCTCCACCAATAATCAATCTGCATCTTGAAATTCTTTGGACAATATTAACAATTTTTTTCAAAAACTTGAATTGATCAGAATTGGGAAAATATATGTTCGCCAGAGTGTATTCCACACTATTCAATTGACCTTTCCAAATCACATATCTACTCTCTCGATCAACCAAAACATCAGTAGTGTGACATGCTACATTTTTATGAATAAAAATCATGACACCCCTAGCTTTGGTGTGAAATGTAGAGTGAAACTGAGTAGGATAATCTTTTACAAAAATCTTTGGGGTATTATTCAATTTGAAATGGGAAAGGTAAAGGAAAGAGAACTGGGAGAAACAGAAAAAAAAATAAACAAAAGACAAACAAAAAAACAAACAAAAACAGAGAGACAGAGAAGTATGAACAAAAAATAAAAAAGGGCCAGAGAGAAAAAAACACCAAAAATATTACCTTTCTTCCAATATACACAGGATAGGAGTAAAGGGTTAGGGACACCAGCAATTAATGATCACTTCAAACAAAAAACAAAAAATGAGTGACAAACAAATGTAACGATAAAAATAAAAAATAAATGTCAGTGTAAAAAAAATGTACAGAATTCAGAGAATGATGGAAAAATTGCAAATAACGATATGGTACAAAACAAAATGAAAAAATTATGTCAAGGAAGTAAACATACTATAATGAGAAAATAAAAAAATTTAAATTATATATCATAAAACAATAAATCAAAATATCCAAGAATAAATAAAATATGAAAAAAAATAAAATAAATAAAATAGAAAAACCCTGGGGGGCCAGAGCCTGACTCGTGAACTAACCAGACGTGCTTTGCACGAGCTCCTACTAATGTTGCTGATTCCCTGGAGATATTTCAGGCTACTGAGCTGGGACCTTCAAAATGAGGCACTACCAACTCGGGTGGCACTCTGCTGAATCTTTTGATTCTCAAGATCCCCAGTCACCAGGTCACGCGGCGGCAAGCTGCGACCTACTAATGCTTGAGTTGGGGAAGTGCATCCGACTTTCTCACTCCACTCAACCCTGTACAGCACGGCACATCTTCTACTCCCCCCCCAATCTCTGGATTGGCGGGGGATATCCCAGTCCCCACTGGACTGACCTGCCTAACTGCTCTGACTCCAAACGCTTATCGCCTGCACAAGAGCAGCCACACTCCCCATGTGGAGCCAAGATGGCAGAGGCACAACTCTCACACAATACGACTCCTCAGTATGCAGGGAAGATTCCGCACAACTTAGTGGCGCAGTCGCTTCAACAGCTGGATGAGCTGTTTGCCCGATTCTGGCCAACTCTGGACAGCCGTGCTGCAGCCACACAGCAGCAGTCTAAGGAGGTAGTTCGGAGGGGCATAAGCCCAAGAGTGGATGGTCCCCAAGCGGGCTTGGACTCTACCCAACAAGCAACCCAGCCTAAGATCAGCCTGCCTAGGCCGAGGGCCTCCAGGGTATTAACCTCGAAGCATCAACCACATCGACGGAAGGTTACCGCCGCAGGCAGCGATTCAACACCAGGGCCTTCCGTTGCCCACGCTGTGGGATGGACTTGGTGTGGCAAACCTAGCCACTTGGACAATATAAAGAGACTGTACCTTTAAGGGTTGCCTGTATGTCAGTGGGGATATGTGTTTAATTATGCATAATGTATGCTGGCTGTAATACCTTGTATTTCCTGTATTTGCTATCTGCCGAATGCAGATAGCTATTTGTATTGGGTTTTCCTTTCGTTTCACGAACAGCACTTTGGCGGGCAGTTCGTGAACCGAAAACACTCTATATAGTAGCCCACACACTTAGAGGCATGTGGCGCTTGTTAACCGATTGCAACAATGTTGCGATCGGTAATTAGAGGCTCTCCTAGGTGGCCGCCGTTCGACTACCGACCATGCGTCGGTCGGCCATCTTGGATCCTTTGTTCCCTCAGCGGTGTTAGGTCGTCGAGCGCATGGTACTAAAAAGCGCTACTCGACGGCGCGAACACCACTGAGCCTCCAGGCCGTTCAGGAGTTCCGGGCCGTTCGGTATTTCATTCCCTGGAAGGCAATCGGTCATTTTAATATGTCTTTTAAGAAATGTGTTTTTCATGCGGCGTTCGGTTGTTTTAGCTGGGATCTGAGCGGTAATCTCACGAATGATGCGCTCAGACCCCAGCTATCTACCGAACGTCCATTCGTTTAAATAGACCATATATTCATAGAGTTATTTATTTTTATACGAATTGTAAGTTCTGCTGCACGGAGGGATAATCCACTTAACGGTATATTCTAGTGGGAGGATCCCACTCGTGCAGCAGTGCCTGATGGGAGAAATGCCCTGTATTGTAAGTCCCCCATGTAGTCCCCTCTGGGAATGCCCCTGGGAAGGGACTCAGGAAACCCCTTGCATGGGGACTTGTATAAATTGTGGAGCTGAATTAAAAGACCTCAGTTGACTCTCAGAACTGTGTTTCGTCCGGTTACTGGGAGGTTTGGGATATTGCCTTGTTGTTTCCAGCACTTGACTGTGGATTACTTCCTGAACCAGCGGAATTCGTGGATTTAATATTGGCGTTCCGCTACACTTGGCCTCATTGAGCCTCCAGGTCCATGGCTCGAAGATGCTGGTCCTCATATAGGCCTGGGGCCGGAGGGGTGGCCCATTCTGCTCCCTTCGTGCAACAACCTTTGCCGATCTCCCTACCCCCATCATGAACTTCCCACACAAGGGCATCGGCTAAGACTAGACTAGCTGTCTGGCGCATGCAACTGTCAGCCATTCCTATGGTACAGAGCCTTCACAAGTCCACAGTGGTCTTCCCCTCATGCGACCCCAACTTGTTATGCATTACTCAGTTGTCTCCTCAAGGCATGCTTAGCTAGGCACTAGTATAGCATGTTTAATTTGTTCATTCTTTGCTATGCTCTAGCTCCTAACTGGAAAGGCAGTATAGTAATAACCATAGTTATATCTCTAATCTCAGTGGATATCTTACTTTGCATATATTTAGTATAATTAAGACATGTCTGAGCCTGCAGATTATCATATTTATGTTTAACCCTTCTCATACAGGTCAAGATTAACTCTGATGTCATGCTCCTTGATAGTAACTTAACATGTATGCCTTGCTAGCTTGCTTAAAACTCTAACAGTTAAAACGTTGCTCCTACTAAAACAATAAATGTGCCTAAATAGCAAATTTCACAGCTTGTATTACATATTAAATTTCTATATACCTTGATACCGCTGTTGTGGCGTCCTTAGGCTGTTTGTTAATTTTGTGTACAACAAAAATACATTAAAAAAATAAAAAATAAAAAACCCTGAATAATAACTTCTACTGTATTTAAAAAATCAAAAACTGTAAGTAACCAAAAACTATTAATAACAAAATCTTATACAAATGTAATCAATTACTATCTTTCTTTCTAATTTTTCTTGGAGGCTGTTGAGAACATTGGTCAGGCATGTCAGGAGAATTGGGTTCCAGAACTTGTAGGCTTGAAAGTACATTTAGTCCTTTTTCTGGAGACATTATAGTATATTGACGTCCATCAAGGCGAAATATGATCTTGACAGGTGACCCCCATCTATACTTGATATTTCTTTTCCTAAACTCAGACGTAAATTGAGCAAATTCTTTCCTTCTTTGGATTGTTGTTGGAGAAAAATCCTGAAAAATTCTAATGTCTTTAAATTTATTAGGAAGGTTGGTGGTTCTAAGTGCCCAAAGGAACTCTTCTTTGATTTTGTAAAAATGAACTCTCGTAATCACATCTTTGGGCTCTTCCTTAGGGGCCTAAATTGGTTTTGGTTTTGCCTATGTATCCTGTCAAATTGCAATTCTAAATCTTTAAACGATGGTCTGACTGAACACATCAGTTCCTTCATGTAATCATCCAGTTCATTC